ATCCCTGACTTCATGCCTTACTATAGAGCTATAATAATAAAGACAGCATTTTATTGTCATAAAAAGATAGGTGGATCAATGGAATCGAATTGAAGACCTTGATGTAAATCCACACAGTTATCTATGAACACCTGATTTTTGACAAAGTAGCCAAAATTATAAAATGGAAAAAAGAAAGCGTTTTCAACAAATGGTTCTTGTATAACTGGATGTTACCATGTAAAAGAATGCAAATAGATACATATCTATAACTCTGCACAAAACTCAAGTCCTCCATATAAATGACACTGAACCTGACAGAAGAGAAAGTGGGAAATAGTCTTGACTGAATTGGCACAGGAGACCACTTCCTGAATATAGCACCAGTAGCAGAGACACTGATATCGACAATAAATGGGACCTCCTGAAACTGAAAAACTTCTGTAGGGCAAAGCACACTGTCAATAAGACAAAATGGTAGTCTACAGAATGGGAAAAGATCTTCACCAATCCCTCATCAAACAGAGGGCCGATCTCTAAAATATTAATTCAAGAAACTATACATCAAAATACCAAGTAATCCAATTTAAAATCAAGGCACAGATTTAAACAGAATTCTCAACAGAGGAATCTCAAATGGCAGCTATACACTTAAAGAATTGTTCAAGATCCTTAGCCCTCAGGGAAATGCAAATCAAAACAACTCTGAAATACTATCTTATACCTGTCAGAATGGCTATTGTCAAAACCAATAATGGCAGCCTGTGTTGGAGAGGATGTGGAGAAAGGGGAACACTCCTCCACTGCTGGTGGGAGTGAAAAACTTGTATAGCCACTTTGGAAATCGCTATGGTGATTTCTCAGGAAATTGGGAATCAATCTACCTCAAGATGCAGCTATACCAATCTTGGGCATATACCTAAAGGATGCTCCATCATACCACAAGTACATTTGCTCAGCCATGTTCATAGCAGTGTTATTCATAATAGCTAGAAGCTAGAAACAACCTAAATGTATGGATAAACAAAAGTATGGATAAAGAAAATGTATTATGTTTACACAGTGGAGTACTACTCAGTGGTATAAAAACAATGACATCATGAAATTTACAGGTAAATGGATGGAACTAGAAAAATCCTGAGTGAGATAATCCAGACCCAGAAAAATAAACATGGTATATACTCACTCATAAGTGGATATTAGCTATAAAGAATAACCAGACTACAATCTAACACTCCAGAGAAGCTAGGTAACAAGGAGGGCCCCAAGCGGGAGTCATGGGTTTCTCTGGGAAGGGAAAATAGAAGCAATTTCCTAGGTAAACTGGGGCTGGGGAGTAGGGGATGGAGGATGGGAGCAGGAGGGATCTACTTGTATTTTTAAAAGAACTTTTAAAAAGTTTATTTTAAGCCATTCTTGTTGACAGAAGTTTCTGTTCTGCCTGGTGCTGCAGCTGTTCAGTTCCAAAATAAACACACAGAGGCTTATATTATCAACTGTTTGGCCTATGGCTGAGTCTTCTTATTGGCTAGGTCATTGTGAAGATCGAACTCCAACCTCAAGTAGGTGTGCAAACCTGATTACTAACCGAACAAGCTGCTCTTTCAGGAGCACTTTATTTGGTTCAGGCTTTCTGTAAGCAGCTGCCATTTGGGATAAGAACTTTCTCAAGCACTTCACAGTTTGGAACGAAGAGTTTGCTAGATGGGTTGCAGCGATGGCTTAGTGGTTAACATGTGCTTGCTGTTGTTGAAAAGACTCGGGTCTCAGTCCCAGCACCCATGTCCAGTGCTTCACAACCGCCTGTAACTCCAGCTTCAGGGAATCTGCTGCCCACCCCCGCCCCAGTCTCACTTAAAAAAGAGATAGCTAAAGATGAGAAACTGGAAATCAGTAAGTAGTTGTGTTCATTGCATTATGTTGGTTTCCCAGGCTGCATTGGTGGCTGGAAATGACAGGCATTTACTGTCTGACAGTTCAAGAGACCTGGAAGGCCATCTCAGCTTCTCAGCAGGCTGCTCTCTTCTGAAACCTTGGAGAGAGCTGTCCTCCTGCCTTCTCACTGGTTTGATGACTTGCTGGCAGGTCTCCAGCAGTCCTTGGCAATCGTAGTTTTGTGCCTTCTGCTTTCACACTCAGTTGATGGTATTCTCCATGTGTGCTATCTTGCGTGGTCTTCTCTAAGGACATCGGTCAAGCTGTGTTAAGAGCTCACCTACCTGCCGAATGGCCTCATTGCAATTGATTGTGTCTTCACTGGCCCTGTTTTCTGGTAAGGTTAGGTCCTGAGGTTCGAGTGTGGAATGAGTTCATCTCATAACAGATTAAGTTAATTGCATGTGTCAGTGTTTTTCATCAGCATGTTGTCAGCTGTTTTCATTTTGCCGCATTCCTTGAAGTGTCTCTTATAGACTGACTTGTCTCTGTGCTCTTATATCTGAGGTTGCTATTTTAGGTGATTGTGATAGTATCTGCAGTAAAACGTTTGATAGAGGGAATGCTGTATTGAAATGCCCAGAAAGGCTCAGTGGCGACCACGCCTTAATGTGTCATTCAGCTGGTCTTGCAGCTTTTGTTGTGAAATGCTTAGAAGAATTTATATTTTGTCTCAGTTTAAGTACTACTTCCCCCCTGCTACCAGGGAGTGAACCCAGGCCTTGTACATGGAGGACAGGTGTTCCACCACAGATGTACCCCAGTGTAGAAGGATTTAAGACACACTAAAAGTTAAACAAGGTGCCACACAGAGACAGAGTATCTAGTTCTCCTTGATTTCACCCTGCAGTATGATACACGTATCTGACACAGCATATGTCCATCGTCAGGGAATGTAAAGTTTGAGAACAGTTGATCCGTGTGAAGGCAGGGTAAGGAAGTCCACGCACCCCCAAGTAAAGAAAAACAGATATTTGGGGAACACTGCAGTCTTCTGCCCTTGGAAGTGAAGGATTCCGGGATGCGTGATGCTTAGACCACAGCCTGAGAGAGAGCAAGGCCCCCTCTTCCTCATAAGGGATTGTGTCCACACTCTGGAGCCACACTCTCAGGGTGGCACCTCAGTTCTGTTGGAGGAACGGATGCGGCTCCACCCTCGCAGGTGCACTTCCTCCTTTTGGCTGTGTAGACAGTTCTGAGTGTCTACTGTGTGTCCTGGCACACAGAGTGGGAATTTTCAGCATTCCAGAAGACTGCCAAGCTTGTAGATTGTGTTTTTGAGTCTGGTGTCTGCTTACAGAATCTCCTTGTATTTCTCCATTCTAGAAAGAGGACTGTGGTGAGTCCCTTGGTTTTGAGGGTCAGATGGTGCTGGTTGGTGAGCCTCTGCATAGTCTCCTTTAAGAATCACTGACAGCTAGCCCCTACACATCAGACAGGAACCCTTTCTAGCAGACAGGCGCTTTGGGTGTCAGTAATGCTTGACTTGATTCTAGGCATTGCCTGTACAACAGCAGACAGTCTTCTTTAGTTCCAGTCTGTTTTGTCTTCCAAATAGACATGTCCACCACAGCAAGACTGCATCGAGTGACATGCAGATCCCACTGAGTGGTGCCAGCAACCTTGGTGTCCCAAAGGAGAGCCTAACCCTTGTGGGTTAGCTGCAGGCGCCCAACGGCAGCAGCCCCTCCCCATGCTAGGTGCTCCACACCTGAGTATCTGATGGCTCAGAGATGTTTGTCCAAACAGAAAGTCCTTTGTAGATGACTGCCTCTGCTGCCTACCCACCCTGCATGTCCCCGCCTGCCCATGGGAGCGCTGCGGTGGCCACACTACTCACTAGCAGCCCTTGATGATTTCTTTAAAGGGATACCTTTCTGATTTTGTAATCCTCTTTATCAGCAAGTGGCTTACATTATTTTCCTTACAGGATTTTCTTTATGTGGTTTTAGGCACACTGTAGTTTAGATTAGATTCCATAGTGTCCATACCCATGAAGCATCTGTTTCTGGTGTAGCTGTGAATGATTTGTGTCTAGGGTTAGCTGTGAGTTGGTATTCATCCATTGCAGACCTCCTGGTCACTCATACTCTGTGCATCTTTTCATCTGGTCACCCTTACCACCAGCACATGGACCCTCTATCCATCACTGGAGTTTTAATTTCTTATGTAGTCTTTTATAGGTGTATACATTCTATTACTTAATGTAGACTATAAAATTCTCTATTGATGTGATGTTTGTTTTGATATCTATCCATAGAGAAGGAGTGTGTAGTAGGCATTCAACAAATGCTTAATGGTGAGTGAAATGCTTAACCCTGTTGTTAACATCATACAAAGAACTAGTATACTAGGTAGGCTTATATTTTTGAAGTTGAAACTGAGGGACATTTTTCCCCTAGTAACCCACTTTTTATAAACCCTTTGATTCACAGGCTTTCTACAGTAATAGATAATGTGTCTTTATGGCTGATTATTGGTAGCTGATATCACTGTGTAACTGAGTGTGTTCAAGAAAATGTATCTACTTTCAACTTTTAGGATTCTTTCCATGTCCTGTGAAGAGATAATAATTAGGGTTGCTTCTAAGTCTCTCAGTCTCACAGTTTACAGTTATCCCCCATGTCTAAAGAGTCTATCACATGGCACTGAAAAACTTATGTAAGAAAGTTAGAGACACATGTAACCCTCTGTAGGCCTAAACTAGATGGTTACAACTTGTTCTTATCTAATTATTTTGTAACCAGGGCCTCTGAATTTTCACTTTGGTTGTTTTTGAACTCTCAAAAGGTCAAATGAAGATACTGTAATTGATTTCATTTATCCAATTTCTGACATAAAGACTTAGACAATGTTAATTTTATTAAAATTTTACAAGTACTTTGAGTATTTTAATTATCTAATCTATTATGAACTGAGGGAGAGATACACACAAAATAAACACCAAATAATCAGTGGTGTTGCAAGAGTAAATGCATTTTGGAATGGATAGTAGACAAGATAATATTTGACAAGATTGCATGCATTTATTGTAGATTCATTTCACTAGTTTTGTTGTTGTTTGTGTTTTCTTGTTGTATTGACAGGGTTGCTTTAGACACTCTTGCTGCATTGCTAAAATCAAGTAAGTTTTTAAATACTGGAAATAATAGTAATTGAAATACTTTCTATATATATCTGTGTTCAAGAAGTTGGACATTAGATTTAGTGTATATAGTTAAACTAGTTTCTTGTAGTCAAAGTTATAGATATTATGTTAGATTCATTTCTCAGAAAATGATGCTTATATGATGTTTACTTATTTTCTTCTAATGGTAAGGCTTTATGCTTATGTCAGTAGGTTAGAAATGCAAAAGAGATGTGCTTGAATAAATCATCCAAATGGATGGAATAAATTCTATCTCAATAAGCATGTCATTGTAGGGCATATCAGTTTCATATAATGTAAGTTAACATAGTGCCTTTTATTGGAAATTTTGTTTTTACTGTAAGCTCAAATTTATAGCCCTGAAAAGTGACACGATGTAAATTTATAACAGTGGTAAAATAAAATAAATGTGTCTGCACAGAACTCACTGTCGTCAGAGCTGCGGCTTCTCATGCTGTTGGAGAACAAGTGCTGCATGCATTGAGGGTTTCCCACCAACGGGCTCAATATGTCTTTAAGACATTTTCATAGCCTTCTCCCATATGATCAGTTGGCTAATTAACATTTAATCTTGACATTTAGTCTTAAATTTTCTGTTGATGGCTCTCATATGCCCCCCTCTCCCAGTACATAACAGACAGTTGGTCAAAAGCTATCGTTGGGGCGGGGCCACCTGGTTTGCTTAGTTTTCATGGCTATATATTTTTAATAGTAACATGATTAATTTTTAAAGTGTGATCTTGCTGGAACAGTGACAAGCACCTGTTATCTCAGTAGGTAGGAGGTAGAGGCAGGGGGACTGATGGCCTGTACAAGGCTAACTCGATCTACATAGTGAGTTTCAGGTCAGTCATAGCTGCATAGTAAGATCTTGTCTTTAAAAAAAAGTATAGTTTAAAAATATGGATTTTGTTGTTTACCAGAATTCTTATTTACACTTTCCCCCTTCGGATGGAATGACGGGTCTCAGTGGGGTGACTACTTTTATCTGTGATGTGATAAACTGTAGTCCAGGCTCACATGTGACGACAAAGCATCTCTTCAAGTTACACTACACAGAACAGGACACTTAATGCAAGATCGTCTTTCGTGGCAGGCTGCTTAGTTTGAAATGCACCAGGGCATTTTGGAGCATCCTCTCTCATATTAAAACTTACTCATTGTGTGGTAGCACTTACATTAGAGGATCAGTTTGCTCTCTGAAGTAAATGTGGGAAGGGACGTATGTGTAGGAGTCAAGAGTAACAAGAGTGAAGGCCAGGGCCCTGAATGGACGCGCATCTGATGACGTGGCTTCTGTGCTTTGAAAGGGAAGGACAGACAGAGTCCCACAGAGTTTTGTATCCCGGGTTTATGAATAAAGTGCTTTTATTAATTTGTTTTAATTGTGCTCAGTGCAGATTGTTGGTAGCTCTTGTCATTTTTTAAGGGCCAGTTTAGCACCTATGTTTGAATATAAACATTCCCCTAAGTATCGTTTAGGCTATTGTAGATTCCAGCAGAAACAAAGTCATAAACACCGCAGTGACCATAAAGCTTTTTAACTAAGTCTTATTAACAGCTACTAAAGGCTTGTACATTTTAAGTGGTGTAAACAAAAGTGTGTATTCACTTAAAATACTTTGTTGTTGTTGTTGTTTTTGAGACAATGTCTGATATATCCCAGGCTGGCCTGAACTTGCTATGTAGAAAAGGATGACTTTGAACTCCTGATCACCCTGCCCCACTTCCTGAGTGCTGAGATTACGATGTGCTCCAGCTTGCCCAGTTTATGTGGTGCTGGAGGGTGAACTCCAGGACTTTGTGCCTGATAGGCCAGCACTCTATCAACTGAGTTAGATCCCTAGCCCAAAATAGAGGAAAATGTTGTTGGTCAAACCAAGCACTGGAGCTGATAATATAAATAGCAACAGCCTCTCAGAAAACGAGCTGTTGTAGATATAGTCGAGGGGCATTTTTGCTTGGTTTTGTTTTTCTCTCTTGTCTGAGACAAGGTCTTGTTGTAATAGCCCAGGCTGGCAGTCTTCCTGTTCCCAGCCCCCAGGTGCTGACATCAAACAATGCTCTCATAAGAAAACTACCTCCTCCTGATGAGCATTCTGCACCTCTCTAATGTCAGGGTATAGTTCTGAAGGAGAATAGCTATATCTTAGTGTTGTGACTTAGTCTACATGAGCGTGTGTAGGAACCAACGATCCTTCTAGGCAGCTAAAGTCATCATCATCTTAGGTCCATCACATAAGCCAAGGTTGCTTGTGGGTAAATTTGAGGTTAAGAAGAGATTAGAGTTTGTACCTAAGCAACCCCAGGTGTGCTATTCCCGACTCCTCTGCTCTCACAGTCCTCATAGACCTGCCACAGCAGCTCTGGGTAGCACTGTGTGTTGCCACGATGACATTCCATGACTGCTATTTTAGTAGATGTGTTCTTTTGGGTAGTAATCTCAAGTATAAGAAAGTCAGCTTCTTATAGTTTTATTCCATTAAAATTGACCAATTTCAGAATACCTATAGTCTTTTTTATGTTAAGTTTTTAATATCTAGAAAAAACTGTTTTCTAATCACTATTTCTTACCTTTTATATAAAACAAGTTTTATTTTAAATTTGGTGTATTAAGTAGTAGATATTTATACAATTGTAGAATAGCTAGAATAGTTAATTACACTAGGAAGATAAATTTTGTAAGTAACAAGAGCCACAATCCAGTGGGGTTAATTTTAATGGGAACATAGTTTGTAATGAAAATAAGCAAGAGTGATAACTGCTTTTAACAAAGTCATGTTTGTAGCTAGTCAGCAAAGGCTTTCTGTCTTGTGAAAAAAGCCCATATATTATAACTTTCAAAATATATGGAGTTTTAAAAGTCAGTGTAACATTAAAAATTACAGACCTTGTTTTAGTAAACGCACTCATTTTCATTTGTTTTGTTTGAGATAGCTCTTCCATTAAGACCCTATTGGTGTCACACTTGGGTTCTTGCCTTTACCTTGTGGGTGCTGGGATTGCAGGAATCACCACTAGGAAGAAGATTTCAGTTGTAAATCATAAAAAGCCATTTAGGCATGCATGTGTCTGAAAACTAATGATTTCTGGAACTTGCCATAATTATTTTGTTAGAAAGTTATTATTAAATATGTGCCTGCTCTTTCTTAAAGTCTGGGGATTATCACAATATTGGCATTCTGGTTTTTCTTTAATTCATGTTAAAACTTTCTTCTGTCATTTATAAAGTAATCTTTTCCAATTTTCTCTTGTTAAAGAAACAAATGCCAGGAGAGCCGTAGACAGAGGATATGTTCAAGTGCTTTTAACAATTTATGTAGATTGGCACCGCCATGATAATCGGCATAGGAACATGCTCATTCGGAAAGGAATCTTACAGAGCTTAAAAAGTGTCACAAACATCAAGCTGGGGAGAAAGGCGTTTATCGATGCGAATGGCATGAAGATTCTGTATAACACTTCACAAGTAAGCTGCTTTGTCTCCTCCTCCTGCTGGGGTGCTAATGGTGCTGTTCTGGTTCTTAAGAAAATGCGTTAACGGGAAAGGACTCAGGAAGGTTGACATAGTGTAAATATATTTAAAATTTCATAAAACCAATAATCTCAGTTGATTTTACATGTGACCTCAGAGACGGTGGAGAGTGGCAAGGGCTCATTTCACACGGCAGCTGTATGAACCATGTGCACAGTGGGAGGGGTTCCCTGTAGCTGTGTGGCATGGGTGACTGGGTTGGCAGTTTTATGTGATCTCAAGGTAACTGAGGATTCTCTAGCTGGTGGGAAAGTTCTGCTATGAGCTTGGGAATGTTTCCTGCTGGACAGAGACATGGCCATGACCATTTTCAGTACAGATGGAACAGGGAGAGAGAGATGAAAGCTACAAGCAGTCTGCTAGCTCGGCTAGACCCCTGAGCTGCGCACGTCCCTGACAGTGTGCCAGTGACCCTGTAGAAGACTGTCGTTAGAGGGGATGGAGGGAAGTTGCAGCGCAGCCACCTTCTCTCCTTGCAAATGACCAGGCACTTGCTCAAGTGCTCTCTTGGTTTTCCACACAATAAACAACCTTTCCACATGGACAGCGCTTACGGTATCTAAACATTTGATGTGTTTACTGAGTGTTTTCATTTTTCCGTTTTACCATTTGGACACACAGTAATAGGTACTTGATCTACGGTGATGAAATCAGGTAGCTTCACATTTTTGAGGCTTAATTTGTCTGTTTAACTAAGTCACTGAGTGCTTAGTGTTGTGTAGTATGTCAGAGTACCACTGAAGATTGTGTAGTGTGTCAGAGTACCACTGAAGATTGTGTAGTGTGTCAGAGTACCACTGAAGATTGTGTAGTGCGTCAGAGTACCACTGAAGATTGTGTAGTGCGTCAGAGTACCACTGAAGATTGTGTAGTGTGTCAGAGTACCACTGAAGATTGTGTAGTGTGTCAGAGTACCACTGAAGATTGTATAGTGTGTCAGAGTACCACTGAAGATTGTGTAGTGCGTCAGACTACCACTGAAAGGTCAGTTGTCACTACAATGTTGTCGAATCACTTGTACTTGACATTGGCGAGCCATACTTTTAGGAGTTGCAGTGGGTCTGCTCCCATTTTTGTCTTTCCAGCTGCATGACCATCTTATAGGAGATAAAGAGCCTGGATCTGAGAGGTGTATCAGTACACACACACACACACACACACACACACACACACACACACACACACACACATGATCTGAGAGGCACATTAGTACACACGATCTGAGAGGTGCATCAGTACACACACATGCACGCACATGCACACACACACTATCTGGGAGGCACATTAGTACACATGATCTGAGAGGCGCATCAGTACACACACACGATCTGAGAGGCACATTAGTACACATACAGGCACACACATGTGCATGCACACACATTTTATTTCTCACACTTTCAGTTCTCAGCACTTCCTTACTCTTCTTCATGCCTTGGACCAAGTGTCTGAATGATTTTCATTTTCAAAGAACTAATTTTTGCCTAGAGAACATTTGAGGAATCAGTCCCATGTGACTCCTGGGTACAGATACTTCTAAAGAGTAAAACTGTTTTATAACTTTATTGTGCTATAATATTACTTTGTGTGGTGTTTGTGGCTAAGAAATCATTCTTATGTTACATCTTGAACATAGCAGTATTGAGCTGTTCAGTAATTCACATATCCTTGTTTGAACAGGAATGCTTGGCCGTCAGGACGCTGGATCCTCTCGTCAACACCTCTAGTCTGATAATGAGGAAGTGTTTCCCCAAAAACCGCTTGCCACTGCCAACCATTAAAAGTTCTTTCCACTTCCAGCTGCCAGTCATCCCCGTGACTGGCCCTGTGGCTCAGCTCTACAGCTTACCCCCTGAAGGTGGGCCGGGCTGCTCGGGCTCTGTTGACACTGTTGCTTAAGACTTGTGTCTGGTTCCTCAACAAAGGTCTTAATGTGAGCATGACAAATCCTCACGTTTATTTTAGTCAACAAGCATTTCTTTAGGTGTAAGAAATTAAAGTCTAATAAGGGAAGTACTGTGTTGCATGTATGTCAAAGTGAGTTGTGAAAACACACAAGAAATTAGTCAACAATCAGTTTTCAGAGTGTAAGAAGGTGACATCAGATGCTTAGGCCATTATATGTTTAGGATTACCTGCGTAGTTTTAAAAAGTTACTGCTTATGATGATGATGATGATGGTGGTGGTGGTGGTGGTGATGATGATGTGGGTGTGTGTGTACTGTTTGTGCCACACACACTATGCTCATGCTACAGTGAGCATGTAAAGGTCAGAGGGCAACCTTCACAAGTTGGTTTTTTCCTTTCACCACATGGGTCCCAGGGACTAAACTTATAACATTAGGCTTGCTGACAATCCCACTGAGTCACATTGATGGCCTGATTTTTCCTACTGTAAGTTAAAAACCTAATCACCAAAATTAGCAAAATTGAATAAATAACTTACTTGGAAGAAAAGTGAAATTATTTGAGGTAGGCTGTTTTTCATTTTTTAGTGTAACACTGCAGGTATGTAATGTAGTAAGGAAGAATTTAAACTTTCCAATGTGTTTTTTGTTTGATTTTTTTTGGGGGGTATCTACTGAAATGGAAAAGAGATGTAGTTATGGATTGTAGGGTAAAAAGGGCCAAGGAAAAAAATGCCCTGCCCCTGACTAGACCCAAGACCTGTGCCCAGGGAAAACACCCTGGCCCTGACTTGACCTCAGGACCGCGGCTTGAAATTGTACCAATCCCTGAGCTTGCCCCAGAGTCAGAGCACAAAAATCCACAGATCCTAAGCCACCCTGGAAAACGCCACCCCACCTCCCCAAGAAATCCTATATAAACTCCTCTATACGAAATACTATATGAGCTCCTCTATAAGAAATCTTCTATGAGCTCCTCTATAAGAAATCCTCTATGAGCTCCTCTATAAGCTCTGCTGTACCCCGTTTGCTGCTATTTCCCACCTGAGATTCTTCCTTTCCAATAAATCTCTCGAGTGAGGTTTGTTGTGTGATATGACATTTTCACAGTAGTGGAGCCCAGCTGTAAAGAACCATGTAACACTTTCCCTGGGGATAATTTCCCTAGCAGAGCAGAGTTGTTACACAGGGGGACCTGAGCAGAGCTATAACAACACTTGCCCAGAGCAGAGCCCAGCTGTGACACTTCCCAGAGCAGAGAGAGCTGTGACAACTTCCCTGGGGAAACCCTCCCCTGCACAGGGGGAAACCTTTCCCTGGAGCAGGGCTGTAAGCTCCTAAGCATATGTAGTATTCCTATTGCTCCAGACTTTGTGGTATTTCTTGGCTCCCGACCGCCAGGATACCTTTTCATCCAAGCTGCAATGCTTACATGGATATTCATAGAATTCTGTGTTCTTACTATGTCTTTGGGAAAGTTAATTTTTATTATATATAAAATACTCGAAATAAATGTTTTAGAGGTTTTCAAGCAATAGTTTTTAATCCTTAATATGGATTTATTAATGGCATATATCATACTGTATATTATTAATTTAAAAATATTAAATTGTCTAAGCACAGATTTAATTGGCATAAAATACCTAAATGCTTCATTTAGAAACACCTTTCAGAAGTCAGGCTGCTGAGATAATTTGCAGGTAATGGCATGTTACGTCAAGCCCAAGGAATTGAGGTCAATCCTCAGGGCCTACATGGTGGACGGAGAAGGTGGACTGTGGAAAGTTATCCCCTGACCTTTACAGGTGCGCGCGCTCGCGCGTGTGTTTGTGTGTGTGTGTGTGAGAGAGAGAGAGAGAGAGAGTCAGCAAGATTGAGTCTAGAAAGTTCTAAGTAAGATAGCTGAGTGAAATAGTTTTCCATTTCCTCCTCTCTGTTCTTTTGTTATTTCTCACAGACTCTGAAAGTGAGGACATTTGTAGCCTGTCTGAAAGGCAGGCAAGGGAAGTCTTCGTGAGACAGCTATACTGCTGTGGTAGAGACAGGCTGGGGTGGACACGGGCTTCCTCCTCTCCATGCAGTCTCTGGCTCCAGTAATGTCACTAGCATTTAATTTTGTGGGACAATCAAGGAGTTTTGAAATCTTTCTTTCCTCTATCTAAATACCGGATTCTGGAGGTGTGAACTGTAGGTATTTGTGGTTCTGACTGTGTAGAAGGCTCGGGAAGCTCTTCTATGATGCAACAGGAAGTACCAGCAGGGAGGAAGTAGAATATATCCTCATAGTGATGCGTGGTCAGAGTAAGGGATAGTGAAAGTCCACCTGCAGTGTAGTGAGTGCACCAGGCATGGGGAAAAATATGAAAGGTGATATTTTCCTGGGGTCTCCTTTTCTGTATGTTTCTCAGACTTGATGAATCACTAAACTAGAGATGTGTCTATTTGTTAACTCACAAGTCTTCATTAAAATGGGACGGGAAGACTCTGGTAGTGACTCCCTTGGCCCAAAGAGGATGTCCTTAATCTGTTTTCCATTACCTTCTAGAGTGTCAGAATTGTTTGTTAGCCTTCCTGAGCTACAACATGAGCTCCTCTGGGATAGGTCTGGACTGATTCTTGCCCTTCAGATCAACAAATTCTCTACTTCTGGATGTTTAGATGGGTGTTCTCATTTCAGCCCACATGCTAACTACCCGACTTAGTATGGACACCACTGAACTGGGGTTCCATCTCATGAGATATTCTCCATTTCAGACACCTGTTACATGGCCAGGCTTCCTCTATTTTGGCGTGACTAACTAAAGTTGCTAGGGAGTTTCCATAACCCTGTGCCAGTGTTGACAGTTTGCTAGATACAGATGTGTGGTAGGTCAGCTGACGCCATCCCGGGCACTGTTCATTGTTTGCTTGTTATAAAGGATACAGCTCGGGTACGGTAGAGGGAGTGTGGCACGGGATGCGTGCTCTGCAGGCACGCCCTCCTCCTAGCATCTTGACATGCTCACTAGCCCAGAGGGTGAGCCATGACCTAGTAAACCATTGATTGTTGATGACTAATTAGTTTGTAGGTCCTCCTTCCCTCCTCAGAGGCTGAGAAACAGGGTTGAAGTTCCCAGCTTTCTTTAATCGTGTCACCAACCTCCATCCTGAAGCTACCTAGGGTCTTACCAAGGGTCCTGCCATTAGAACAGAAGACATCCCTGCCCCAAGAAAGCCCAGAGGTGTTGGGAACTGTCATGCCCAGGGACAGGATGGCATAGCTTTGTATCACAGCAGTACTGCTTAACTACTCTTTTCTCTTTGGTACCCTTTCAGTCGCATGTGGGGCTTTAAGGGTACAGTTAGGGTGTGCTGAGTGGGTGGGGCTGGACTCAGGACTTGCCTTCTGGTCATCTACGAAGTGCCATCTATGAAGATCTGAAGGAAAAAGTTCTGATTTGAGGTCTCGGAACCGTCACTAGCTTCCACCACAAAGGTGGTGTGTTCTTATATATGAGGTGTGGAGCTGTTATCTTAGCTGCTCTTCCTTAAGTGATAAGCAGAGTATTGCTGCAGCCAGTGAGACGACGGGTTCACATGTTGACAATGCAGAGGGCCCCACAGAAGAATAGCTGTATTAAGTCCTAGAACCTGCCCATTCTGTAACACCTAATAGCCCTGCATTGTTACTGTGATGTAACAACCCATTTCAGTGCAAGACTTCTAATATCATTACCACAAACAGAGCCTTCTACATGGACTAATAAATTTGGTGTTGACAGATTTCCTCATAATAATTCTTGCATTTCTAAAATGGAAATAGCAGAAATGCACATTTTTTTTTAAATGTAACATACCCATAGGACCACAGACTGATGTCAGAGACTGCCCCTGTGTCATTCTGGGTAAAACTCTGGGAGCCTTTATTTTTCTTGAATGGACCCACTACTGCTATGTAAAAGCCAGAGAGTTTCAGAGATGAATAACAAACCCTTGAGAGATCTGACTATGAAACATGAGCCAGCATGTCAGTTTTGATAGTAAATTTAAACAGATAAAATACTCTTATTAAAGGTTGCCTGTGCTGGGACCTTTAATCCCAGAACTTGGGCGACAGAAGATAGGTAGATCTCTGCATTTGATGCCAGCCAGGTTTACAAAAGTTTGCTGGAGAGAACTCAATAATACATTTGAATATATAATCGAAATATTATTTTAGGGACATATAATTGATTAAAACTGACTGGAATAATAAAAGCCAGAAATGGAGTATGTAGTCAAGTTTATTTGGTGATATCAACTGTTGGTGATGTCATAGATTAGTTCTCTCAACTTTCAAGGAATTTTCCTATGCTTTATTTTCCAGAGCATAGAAAAAAAGAGAAAAGTTTAGAAGCTAGCATGATGCTGAAAGCAAAACTGGTAAGGATTACTGGAAACAACCTACAGCTAAATCCCACTAATCTAAATAAATGTACAAATTCTAAAACAGAGCAAATTGAACTGGGCAGTGTTTATTTGTGTAGGACATCTTGATTATTTTTAAGAAATGAAGTTCACTATAATACTAAAATGGGCGAAGTTTATTGTTAGTAGGTCAAAAAAAGGAAGCCAGTTATTTCAGTAAATACCATGAAGTGATTCCAGATAAAATTCATTAAGTAAACTGGCAGTAATTTTGAGCAGTGTTACTAACTTAGATCTATACCATGCCCCAGAAATAGTAATGAAACATTAAAAGATGTATCTCAAATCTTATAGCTAAGTCAGTAATATAGAGAAAGGACTTAACCCATTGAGAGGGTTAGATGTATGAGCCATGGGGGATTTTGTTACAGTGTTACCCAGGAAACCATGACAAATTTAATAGCACCAGGTATAAGGAAAATGAATAAAATATAGTTGTTTTCCTGTGTCCATGTCTCCATGTATACAAAATCAAACCTTTGATACACACAGCATATCACACACTACCTAAAAATATATTTGTATACACAGATATGTCCATACCCTTAGGGCTGGCCTTATAGATCTACTGCATACAACACAGAGAGAGAGGGGAAGTGGACCGTGTTTATAGACACAGTAAAAACAATTCCTTTATTTATAGCTTCTAAGTCCTTTTAGGAACTGCGGGCTCTTTCCTTTAATGGTGGCATCCCAGGGTGCCCTGTATTTACCTTACTAGCTGTCAGAGATATGTAGAAGTTGTTCCCTGCATTGCTGTTGTTAGTTGACTTAAAGAAGCAAGGGCAGCTGGGTCTGTAGCCTCTGGTTTTGCCTGTTGCTGAGGTATGGCTAATTCTTAGCAATGCAATGCTGTAAGGAAGCTGTGTGATACTTCACAATTGGAGCATGTACCTAAAGGAAATACTTGGAGGTTTGCCCCAAATTAAAAAAAGTTTCCTCCAAATCTGCACTATTGAATCAGGTGTTTTTCCTGTCTGCAATAGACTTTTGTTGAATTTAGTGCATTTTCCCCCCTAAAGACTGTTCTGCTTCTGTTCTTTTTCCATATGTCAGCTTTTCCACACACCCATGGCTGACTGCTGTTAGGGCTTAGGGTAAACAGATCCAGGTTGGATCTTAGTGGACTAGGCCATCAAAGAACATTTGTAGCTTCTTGTAAGAAAGTTCGCACTAAGGAGCGGCCTTCTCTCTTCCAGGGAACACAACTGATTTGGGTTCATCAATTTGCATTACAGACTACTGATCAGGTATTACCCATAGGAGTTGATGTCACTGCTGTAGTAGAGTCTGGGACCCCTCAGCTCAGATGCAAGGGTTCTGTTGCTAATATTAGGCAAAGCAGTCAGTACTCTGTGTCTACATCATAGTGGACACAGAAGTCAAGTAGCTTAGGAAAGCAGCTCTCAGCTGTTACTTCGTGAGGAGCCTGGTGCTTTTGTCCTGCCCCTCGCATCTCTGCTCCATGAACTTTACGTGGGGCTCCCTGAGTGCTTCTTCAAGCTGTTTCCTTTCATTTCCTTAGTCTTGCATCGGCCTAGACAATGGCTGTCCCTCTTGCTTGGTCTTGCTTCACTAAAATGTTCTCCTCTCAGACTAGAAAATGCAAGTTGTATCAAGCCATTCTTTTCTTGGAAATCATGTGTTCTGTAGGTTTAAAATCTAACTGACTTGGCTGACTGTGCAATATCTATCCTATCTCATTCTTATTTACCAAACACACTCTACATGCCAATCATATTTATTGTCCCAACCTTCTGTCATTTCACTTTCTTGCTTCTTTTTACAGCCTCACGACTCTGGCCCTGGGTCTCCTTCAGGTGTTGCCCTGTGAAGTGGTCACTGGTCACGCCTGTGCCCTATGCGGTTGTGGCCAGTGCGGTCTGTCCGGGTTTCCCAGGGCATTCCTCCTTTGGGCCAGGAATCATATCTTTAAAAAATCCCTAGTTTGCAACACAGTTTGTAACACAGCGTATGGCCCATGATCACTGAAAGAAGCAATTGCAAAGGGATGAAGTGAGTCACTGAGGTTTGTCGTAATGCTGCATTTGGGCTGCAGTAGCATAGGGCGTTATTAGATGGTAACTGAGAGCATCATAGTAAACATTTCATTCAGTTGGTAGTGTTTCCAAGTTTTAGGGTTCTTCCACATACTTTGTGAGGTTACTAGGGTTGAGATATCCTTACAGATGTTTTTTTAGTAAGAAATTTAAAAAGGAAAACAAAAAAAAAATGCCCAGTATATGAAATTGTTGATGAACAAAAGGAAAAAAGGAATTTCTGTTGAGAGGATGAGTGTGGTAGCTCAATGAAGGAATGTCTGCCTTTCCTTGGTGATTGGAGTGCAGTGTGCGCACTGTGCGTGTACCCCGTAGATGCTTGCCTCTGACCCACTGACCCTTGTCTTGCATCGCAGTAGATGACGTACTAGACGAAAGTGACGACAACGAGGATGCTGATTTCGAAGCTGAACATGAAGTGGAAAATGAAGATGACCTAGATCAAAATTTTAAGGTTGGTCCATTTTTGTCATTAGGAAGCTTTATACGTTGTGCATCTCAGCTTTGAAACAGATTTGCTGATGCATAGGATCATAGACACAGTGTTGGAGACACGAGGGCTCTAAGGGAGGTAAATAACTTGAGAGTGCCGTAGCAGTTTATTCCAAAAGGCGTTTCCTTCCGTCAGCAGTCTTTGGGGGCTGTAAAATACCAGGAATACAGTCCATGATGCAGGTGCTTCGTGATGGCATCACGCTATTAGGAGGACGCTGACTTGAGGAAGTACGAAGATGTTACTGTGTCACCTGAGCTGCCAGCTGAAGCGGCTGGTGAGCTGGCAGAGTTCACTGTGTCCGGAAGGTCAGAGACTCTCCTCTGTGTCATTTGGCACAGAAGGGCCTCTGCAGCCTCTTTGATTGTTAGCTGCTCAGCTTGTTCACTGCCTGCTTTGAGGGGAGAACCAGGTTGACTTTTGCCTGGATCTGTTTTACCTCTTTTTTTCAGTCTTGGACTATTGGGGTTGGAGAGATGACGGCTCAGCAGTTAAGATGACTTGCTGCTTTTGCAGAGGACCAGGTGCACTGCCCAGCATCCACTTGGCAGTTGACGATCATTTGTAACTCCAGCTCCATGGGGCTTGATACTTCTTATGGCCTCTGAAAGCACCAGGCACACACGCAGAACACATGTGTGCAGGCAGGCAAAGCACTAAAAAATCTTGGAATCTGGCCTTAATATTGGGGCACACTATGTATTTGACTTTGCAGAGTCTAAAATACTGGAAGATGTATCTTAATAATAATATAGAATCAATTTTGCTACCACAGTGTGATCACAAAAATAGGGCAGGCTTTGCTGTTAAGACACAAATCTGGGTGCCTGGGTGTTTAGAGCTGATCTAAGCAATGGGACTGGTAGACTACCAGCTGTGAATCATCTCTCATTAATCTTCATGAGTTTCAATCAAAATACAAGATTTTAGTAATAAACACTGCAGCGTGTCTGGTATAGTTGATTCTGTAGTGATATGTTGTTTGTGACCTAACAAAAAAAAGCTTGCCTGAAGATCAGAATGCAGAGCTAAGCCACTAGTTAGCCGTAGAGGCCAGGCAGTGGTGGCCACACCTTTAATCCCAGCACTCGGGAGACAGAGGCAGATGGGCTACACGAGAGTGAATCATTCACTAGTCTAAGGAGAAACAGAGCTCACAACTTTGATCCCAGCACTGGAGAGGCATAAGGCAGGAGCTCCGTGCAGTGGAGGCTGAGGATTGGTGGGGACAGGATCGCCTCTTCAGTCTGAGGTACAAGTGAGAGCTAGTGGCTTCCTGCTTTGCTTTTCTGATCTTCAGCTTGAACCCCAGTATCCATCTCTGGGTTTTTATTAGTCATGCCACATGTGTCTTCACATATCACAGTTTTGTGATGGTCAAGAGTATAAAGACTAGGGAGTGAGGACAGTTGGAACAGTGACTGATTTTGCTGCTGGAAAACTGTGTGCATTTGAGAGTGAGTTAGGTTTGTCAGCTCTTCTGGTCCTTTATCCATGAGCATACATACACCATAACTGCAACACACTTGCCATGTGTGTCCAATTTATCATTTGCTCCTATAATGTCTTTTATGAGGTTTTTTTTTTTTTTAAACACCCTCTCTGCTGCAAGATCTAGCCTCAGATACTGAATTTCGTTATCTCTTACTTGGTTCATTCATTTGAAACATTTCCACAGATTTCTTTGCTCTTGACATTGGAGTCTTTGAAAAACATTTGTTGGCATCCAGTTTTCACTGAGTTAACAATGACAGTGATTACTCACATATTGTCTACTTCACCTTAACAAAACAGTTATAGTTATGAGGAAAATAGTATTTATTGAACATTTAACCATGTGCCAATCCAGGCTGCTCGTGTACTGTAGCCATCAAATGATCACAGCAGTGTAGACGAGGCACAGAAGGCTGTGTGTGCAAGGGGACACACGGTGTGGTGGGGGCTCCACCCCTCACCCCCGCCCTGTGCTCCACTCAGTGTGGTGGGGGCTCCACCCCTCACCCCCGCCCTGTGCTCCATGCAGTGTGGTGGGGGCTCCACCCCTCACCCCCGCCCTGTGCTCCACTCAGTGTGGTGGGGGCTCTACCCCCTCACCCCTGCCCTGTGCTCCATGCAGTGTGGTGGGGGCTCCACCCCTCACCCCCACCCTGTGCTCCATGCAGTGTGGTGGGGGCTCCACCCCTCACCCCCGCCCTGTGCTCCACTCAGTGTGGTGGGGGCTCCACCCCTCACCCCCGCCCTGTGCTCCATGCAGTGTGGTGGGGGCTCCACCCCCTCACCCCCGCCCTGTGCTCCACTCAGTGTGGTGGGGGCTCCACCCCTCACCCCCGCCCTGTGCTCCACTGCAGTGTGGTGGGGGCTCCACCCCCTCACCCCCGCCCTGTGCTCCATGCAGTGCGGTCTTCAAGTCCATGATGCATTGGCTGAGACTGCCGGATGCAGCTGCACGAGCCTCTCCTGCCTGCACTGCTGTCTGTCTCTGACTTGCATTGGCCGTTATACATGGGCATTCTGTTTGCCTTGACTTTAGGGGAGGACCCACAGTGTCTTACGGCATGACTGGGCTGCAGGGGCGGGCAGGGGGGCTGGAACTGTTCTGCTGTGGTTGGTGGTTGGCTTCCAGACTGCCTTTTCCTCACCAACATGAGTCATTTTTTTTTTCTGCAGAGATTTCAGTCCAGATTCTTTAGGTTCTACACAACTCACCTGCAGGTAACCATAGAGGTCAATACTCTTAGCTTCCTTAATGCTGGAGTGGCTGTTCCTAAGAGTGAGCCATATGCCTCTGCGTAGTCCTGGCTGTCCTGGATCTCACTGTGTAGACCAGGCTTTCCTAGAACTCACTGTGTAGACCAGGCTGTCCTAGAACTCACTGTGTACACCAGGCTGGCCTAGAACTCACTGTGTATACCAGGCTGGCCTAGAACTCACTGTGTAGACCAGGCTGGCCTGGATCTCACTGTGTAGACTAGGCTGGCCTGGATCTCACTGTGTAGACCAGGGTAGCCTGAGACTCAGACGTCCACCTGATTCTGCCTCCCAAGTGCTGGGATTAAAGGCACATGCCACCACTGCCCTGAGGGGAAAAAATGTCTTTGTATTTTTTACTTTGGATGATTATATGTTAATCAAGAAAATGAATACATTATTTGTTCATAGATTAAAAACTTAAATGAAATTATATTTTCATGAAGTAATAATTACATGGTGGTGATAATATGTAAATAAAACCAATCTCTTATTAATAGGAATTACAAATCTTATTTATTGATTATATAAATAAAAGCAAATTGCCAAGTATAAAATATCATATACTTTTATTAAGATTACCAGTTAATGTTCATATATAGTTAAATACTATATATGGAGGATTTAAGCATAGTAACATAAATTTGCTTTAGGATCGAAATTTAAGTCATTTATTCTGACACCATGATAAATAGGAAATTCAAAATGAGCCTCCTTACCCAACTATTAAAGTTGTGAGCTTGTGTGAGGTAAGGCACTGTGGGTCTGAGTTGAACTAATACTTATTGTCCTGTCATGAGGAAGGCATATAAGCTCTTAGGGAGGATAGCGAGGGCTACATGATGAGACTCAAAATACAGAAGATAAAGAATTTAGGGACAGAATTGGTTGATGACATGTCTCTTTTGTCTGAGGATATACTTGGGACTTGCTCTCTTTTTTCCTTGAAGGTGTGGTTTGGGCCCTTGGGTCACTTCTGACTCTCCTGGCCCTGCAAGCCAATAGTGTGCGCAGTGACAGTGGGCCTCGGAGTGTGCAGTGTGTGCTCTGGTCTGTACTGGCAGGCTGTGCTGGCTAGCTCGCTCACATCTCCCGTGTGCAGTGTGTGCTCTGGTCTATACTGGCAGGCTGTGCTGGCTAGCTCGCTCACATCTCCCGTGTGCAGTGTGTGCTCTGGTCTGTACTGGCAGGCTGTGCTGGCTAGCTCGCTCACATCTCCCGTGTCTGATTGCAAGGTCCTTACTCACCGGGCATCCCCACGCAGGTGTTGGGGACGGAGTAAGCACGTCTGTTTCAGGGTTGTCAGAATGACTTAGATGATGGAGATTAGTGCGTGCCAGCTGGTGGTAGCTACTTTGCTTGCTGTGTATAAATGTTTTCAGTTTAATTCTCTTGAGTCTTACTTTACAGCACACTGATAGGGACATTGAGGGGAGAATACATGATCTTTGTTTTTTGTTTTTTGTCTTGACAAGCTTGAAAACTCTGTTACAGTAAGATTAGTCATGACCAAGCAACAAAATCAGCACCAGTGATAATCTATAACTAATTAAAAGTTCTGATTTATGATTAAATTGAATATAAATTTTATCAGTGATTATTCAGTAATCATAAGTAATAATATTTTGGGATATTTCAAATATAAAATATATTCTCTAACATTTTTGTGTTTTTATACTAATGGCATGTTTTATTATTTCAGAATGATGATATTGAAACAGATATTAACAAATTAAGACCCCAGCAAGTACCAGGACGAACAATAGAAGAACTAAAAATGTATGAACACCTCTTTCCTGAGCTTGTTGATGATTTTCAGGTATAAATATAGAAACTTTGGTCTTACCTGTTTTTAATAAAAAGTTCATTTTTTCTCTGTTATGAATATAATTGCCGTTTTCCATTTCTGAAAAAATGGCACTCAACTTGCTTAGAAGGGAGAGAGCACTGGTGTGGTTTTTACATTTTATAATCACTTTGGTTCATCACTTTGACTTGCTTTTTAAAAATTTGTCTTATATTCTTAAAATTGCATTATAAAATCAGACTGTAGTCTTCCTTGTGTTAGTTTGCCCATTTAAGTAGTGCTGAGGAGTTCTGTAGCTTTACTCTTTCCTTTGTAGTTATTATGTGATGTAGCAGCAGTCAGGGCAGAGAGGGCAGCCTGCAGCCCTGAAGATGTAGGTTGTTGTTATTAGCGTTTCTTGTTCTCATGTACTAAAATAAAATTATTCAGCTTGGGTTATACAACAAGCCATGTTGATTGAATTGTGTGGCAGTTAGTAGGTGTAGTTTTTGTTTTTTCTGTTTCTGCTGTGCTGGTTCTTAAGTCTTGGTTTAAAGTGCAGGTTTGGCCAGGCATGGGAGCACACAACTTTAATCTCAGCACCAGGAAAACAGCCCAGGTAGATCTCAGTGAGTTCAGAGGCCAGCTTGGTTTACACAGTGAGCTCCAGGCCAGAAGGTTATGTGTTTGGACTAGCTAACCTCTAAGACTTGAGTAGCTTTGCTGTAAACATCGTTGCTCTCCAAATCCCATATCCTTAACTATAGTTGATTGAAGAAGAAGATTACAGTAAGTTTATATAAGAGACACAAATGAAAAGTATTTGCCACTTTTTCATTTGTTTTTGGGAGTATACCTTGGAATACAGTGAAAGATAACCTCCTGCCTCCTAATTCCCTGTACTTTCTGTAGGTTTGAAGTTCATTGGACCTTTGAAATAGAGCAGTGGAAGGAGGTAGGAGCCAGGCAGAAAGGAGTTGGGGTGGGTGGGGGAGGTCCAGTGGGAAACAGTGGGGGAAGGAGAAGGAGCCGGGAGAATACGGGTGGGTAAGTTTCCATCCATGTAACCTGCTGAGTTACTCTGTGTAATCTGTTTGGTTTCTCTTGAACTGTTTGAAGACAAATACTTTGTAAATCAAGGCAGACAGTAATGTAGTGGTTGTGGGTGGGAATTGATTAGCATGTAATGACTTCACCTGTTTTCCTATAAGTATATGCGTGTAGGAATGTATAATGCAATACAAGTTACCCCTTTTGTGTGGGAGGACAGTAGAGTGAGTTTATAATGGGCCAGTGACTCTCAGCCTGTGGTTGCTACTTCTTTGGGGGCTGAACAACCCTTTCACAGGGGTCACATATCAGATGTTGACATTATAATTCATAACAGTAGTAAATCACAGCTATGATGTAGCATTGGGATCCTTTTATGGCTAGGGCTCACCACAATGTGAGGAGTTGTGTTAAAGGGTCGCAGTGTTGTGAAGGTTGAGAACCACTTGTTAGTGTTCAGGCATCTGTGCTGGCCTGTCCTTGGAGTTCTGACAGGACACGCCCTCAGCTGCAGACACTAAGAGCACTGCCTGTGCACACTCACCAGCTTCCCATCTCCTTCCCCTCTTTCTTTTACTCCCTCTCTCTGTTTGTCTGTCCCCCTTTCTCTGTTTGTCCATCCCCCCTTTCTCTGTTTGTCTGCCCCCCCTTCCTCTTTCCTGCTGCTCTTGTCCCTGGAGGCCAGTCTCCCCCCTCTCCTTTCTCCTTTTTATGATCCTTTTCCCTTAATAACAAACCCCTTTGACTGGATGATAGTGGTGGCGCACACCTTTTATACCAGCACCCAGGAAGCAGAGGCAGGCGGATCTCTGTGAGTTCAAGGGCAGCCTGGTCTACAGAGTGAGTTCCGGGATAGGCTCCAACTACACAGAGAAACCCTGTCTTGAAAAACAAAAAACAAACACAAACCAGCCCTCTCCTTGAAGCCTGTCACATGGTGTCTTTCTCTCTCGAGCCTCACTTTTAAATGATGACACCACTGATACAGATTCTCCTCATTTTCCAAGCCCTTTCTTCCTTCAGATTGTGATACACATCTGTGTTTACATTGCCATGACCTCCTCATAGTTCAGCTCCTAGCTAGGCTGACCTTGATGGGTTCCTGGACAGCCTCATACCATGTGATGATGTAAACAGGGGCCCAGCTTGTTCTTGGTGACTTCTTGAGCAGGCTTGGTTCTACTTTGCGTCTGAGTGTGGGTAGCAAGGACAGTAAATGTAGCAAGTGAAGATATGTGTCTGAGTCAGAGCTCTTGAACTATGCTACTTCAGGTAAAAACAGCAATATGCATTTATTAGTGTGTTGTGCATTTTGCCATTAAATTAGAGTTTTTATTTACATAGCTGGATTTATTGCCAAAGAAGTTATTCTCATGCCTGATTGTCTTTCTCATTTTATAAGTTTCAGAATTTGAAATGTATGCCTGATTAGTAAGAAGAAATATTTAATGGTATCATATTGAGGATTATAAGAGTTTGTTGATTCTGTTAATAGTTTTTGAAAGAATTTTACTCAACCACCATTGAATCAATTCCTGGCATATCATATGACATTAAGCATTTGTGAAATAATCTGTGACAGCTGTCTGCATCACGACCAACGTCCACCTCGTTTCCGGATGAGCAGACCCTGCTTGCCCAGTTGCTGGGTGTAGTAAAATGAGTGTCATTGTAGGCAGCACGCGGAAGTCTCTTCTTGCAGGGCAGAAGAGGATGGAGCTCAGCTTCTCGTGCCCGCTAAGCAGGCATTCTGTTGTCGAGCTGTCTCTCAGCCTTGGTTTGCGTGCTTGTTTATTTAACGTGTGTGAGTGTTTGCCTGCATGCATGTATGTGCACCATGTGCATGTCTGGAGCCCAGGGAGACCAGAAAAAGGTGTTCGTTTTCTGAAGTAACGCGTGACACAAATATGATCTTACTTTTATTAGCATAATTTAATACTGACAGGTAACAGATTAAACTTATTTTTTTCTTAAATAGGACTATGAGTTAATCTCTAAGGAACCGAAACCTTTTGTGATTGAGGGGAAAGTTCGAGGCCCTATCGTTGTTCCCACAGCTGGAGAGGAAGCATCTGGGAGTTCACGCAGTGTAAAGAAAGGAGCTGGGGTGAAGGAGAAAGTGTCTCCTAAGGGAGAGGAAGCCACGGAGGATGCCAGGGGCAGTGACAGGACGCTGCCACAGCAGCTAGGTGGTCAGAACAGAGCCGCTGCTTCAGCTCACAGCTTCAGCAGTGACATTGTGAAGGCCTTAGACCGAATCACGTTGCAGAACGTTCCTTCACAAGTATCCCCGGGCGTGGCTGCAGGAATGAGGAAGGACTGTGGTCTGCCTCTCAGTGTCCTCTCATGCACGAAAGCATGCCCACATGTGGCTACGTGTGGAAGTACTCTTTTTGAAGGGCGGACAGGACAGCTTGGGAAGCTATGTTGTACTGGAGTGGAAACTGAAGATGAAGAAGACAGTGAGTCCAGCTCATCTGTAGAACAGGCCTCCTCTGTTGAAGTCCCCGATGGACCCACACTCCACGACTCGGACCTCTACATTGAGATTGTGAAAACTACAAAGTCTGTCCCAGAGTACTCAGAGGTGGCTTACCCTGATTATTTTGGTCACATCCCACCCCCATTCAAAGAGCCCATCTTAGAAAGGCCTTATGGTGTGCAAAGGTGAGTGGCAGATTTCTTCTTCCTCATAAGTGAGACCACTGTGAAAATGTGAGGCATACTACAGATTGTATTTGGGGTCTCTAGGAAAAATTACTCTGAATTAAAGGTACACTGGTTAGGATGCTTTGTTTTGCTTTGAAATTACCCCAGTTGATAGTTGAGTGTGAAGAATGATCTGTGCTCGCTATACTTTGGATTTTGAGGAAGTTCATTAGGTATATAGCAAGAAAAAGAACACATAGATGGCAGAACATGAGATCAGGCACCTAGAACATTGGACAGAGAAGCCCTGTTGAAACCGTGAACTGCAGGACTAATTTAGAGTCTCAGATTGTGTTCTACTTCCGGGGTAAATAGTAGTGACCTGCTGGAAATGTTTTTACCACCCTTGAGCTCCTTGCTAGTCTCCGTTTATCTTGTCACAGTGCCAGGGTATCAGTCTGCTCCAGGACAGGGGATTTCTGAGGACACTTGAGATAAACATGCTTACGTCTGAGACAGGGGGCTACTGTCTTCCTCTGTCAGTTCTCACCAAGTGTGAAGGGCACATGCTGACTTACTAATGTAATGATATAGACTGACTTTATTTTGAAAGCATATTACTTATTTAAGTGAGAGAATAGTGTGAACTGATCCAGTGTAGAAGCTTGACTGTGGCTGCTCCTGAGAACATGAAGGACTATTTGAAGATGCTGGAGTAAGTGCCTTCTTGTCAATATTCAGTAAGCTTTTATTCATACTTTGTTTAGACACTATTTTAAAGTAGACTATAAATTAAATAATAAGGATGCATTATTTTGTTTGAAAGTTTAGCTGGAAATGAAGAGTGAGAATTTGGTATTTGTGAAGGCACCAAGTGAAGTGATATTTCATGTGCCATAAAATAAACATAGAGATTGTTGCTAGCTAGCACCAGCCAGTGTATACTCGGCATGTAAAACTCAGCACGTAAAAAACCCTGCGTAAACTTTGTTTTGTGTGTCTGAACTGGTTTTGGTGACTTTTAAAAAACGACGCCTCATCAGTTTTCGATACACTCCTGTCACAAGTGTAGAGTAGACTGAAAAGGAGGCCTTGCTGTTTGCCTCTGAGCATCCCAGAGCACAAGGCTCTTTAAGCCACAGCCCCTGCAGCATCACATGCCACTTAGCACTTCACCTGACAACTTAGTGATTTCCCCTCCAGGATTGAGTGAGTGTCACAGAAATGTTGTGACTTTTAAAGGATAAAATATGCAGTGTCCTTCCCTTTATAGGAAATGTTTGCTGGCCCTAGGTAGTCTTAAGGCTTTAACGTTTCACATTCATGTCAGAAATATCAAATGTGGTTAGCTAACAACTGCTTATAAAGTTCCCAAGAATGCTTATTTCTTGAAATGCATTGAGGATGGTGACTTTAGTTTGTGCATGCCATGCCTTGTCTCTTTCAACCTGCTTTGAGTGAATGACAGACATTTTGTGAATAACTTGCCAATGTCAGTCTCCATCTGAATGTAGTAACATTACAAATGCAAGGTATAGCACGAATAATATAGACCCAGAGACAGATATTGGGGTTCAAGCTGAAGATCAGAGAAGCAAGGCGACCAGCTGCCAGAGAGCTCTCACCGCTACCAATGCTCAGATCAAAGGGATGAACCCTGAACCTCAGACTGCATCTCCAGACTGCACTGCTACTCAGATTCACTGAGACGGCACTGAGCTCCTTATGTTCTCTCTCATGCTGGGATTAAAGGCATGAGCTCTGTTTCTCTTTTAAACTGATTCAGCCCTGGGTGGCCTTGAACTCACAGAGATGCACCTGCCTCTGTCTTCTGAGTCCTGGCATTAAAGGTGTACGTTGCCACCACTGTTCAGTCTCCATGGCTCTGCTAGCTTTGTATTTTGATCCCCAGGCAAGTTTTATTAAATAATAAACACTAAATTACCATAGTTTTCCCTTTTTGATCTAATACAAAAAGAAGGCTATAACTAATATAAGAAAAACCAAGTACAGTAATAACTATATACAATATATATAGGCAATAAGTACATCAACAATGTCTTGTCCATTTGGATTTGACAAAGTCAGATAAAATACTCCATATTCATCCTATCTTGATGAGTCCAAAGTCTAATACCTAATTCACTTTCTATTCTAATTTGCATTATCAAATTATCTTTTAATGTCTCAAACTTTTGTACTTTGCACCTCTTTAGAGGGTTTCTTTCTGAGTCTGGTAAACAAGGAAAACTGTAACTGTAACATTCTAGTCTTCAACTCCCTCAGAGACCTGAGAAGAAATATTAAACTGAGTAAGCAGGAGAGGGGAGCAAGCAACTTCCAAAAAATAAGAGAAATGACAAAAGCAGCTTGCTGCCTGGACAGTCACCGAAGGGTTCTCTGCAGTGTTGGAGCATCCGTCTGACAGACTTTTCTGTGATGCAGTCTTAGAAGGACTGTGTAGGGGTGAGCCCCACAAAGCTATCTGCCCTAAGAGCAGGGATAAGGAGATTTAGGACAGGTGGAGATAAAAGAAAGTGAAAGAGAAAGGAATCCCTCTTCTCCTCTCTTCCCCTGGAAGCCACCATGCTTCTGACTCCCCAGCCTTTTGTGTGTAAGTTCTCATTCTGGTAAATAAATATGTTACATTCCCTATCGCATTGACCTCCCACATCAGGACTGTCCTACCTTATCTTGGCAAAGCTTTGTAGTCACTCTTTTGTGCGTCCTGCTTGTCTAATTTGGACAGCAGACTGCCAGGGATCCAGGTAAGGGCACGTTCTTGCCCAGTGACTTACCTTTGCCGCAAAGAAAGTAAACTCCATGTGGAGTTTCTTCGATGCCTGTCATCTTCTCTGAAGTAGATTGGTGCTTTATATTATAATACACAAAAAACTGTTTCATTTTCTTAGAGACATATGCTGGGGCAATTGTCTGTCTTTATTTGAGCAGGTTTACCCATGATGGCCATGACTTCTAGCAAACTTGTAATTACCAAATCAGCCTTTTTTTGGAACTCAAAGCAGTTGCCCATTGAAAACCTGAATAGGTATCAATAGTGTGGTGTATAAATTTTTTTTTCAAGACAGGGTTTCTCTGTATTGTTTTGGAGGTTGTCCTGGAACTCGCTCTGTAGACCAGGCTGGCCTCGAACTCACAGAGATCTGCCTGCCTCTGCCTCCCGAGTGCTGGGATTAAAGGCGTGGGCCACCACTGCCTGGCGGTGTACAAATTTTAATTCTCCAAATTATACAAAATGGAGCACATTCATCTGCCAGATTTCATTCCTTTGAGTACTCTTGGGTTAATTCCTGCAGGTAGTGGAGTTTGGTTGTAGAAAGAACAAGTAGGACATTTCCTTGACTTATTGCCATGTGAGGGAAAAGTCTTTTTTTCAAACCTTTGCTATTGACATAGTGTTTTTTTATGAAATTCTGAGGCCTTTAGCACATTTCCTATCAATAGTTGATCCATTTCATGATTACCTTGGCAGACCCATATGTGATATATATATATATATGGGATGACTCCTAATCCTAATTATGTCTTGTAACTGAATAAATAATAAAGTCAATTCTGTATCATCTGGTATAAATTCAGCAGTTTCAGTATGCACAACTTTTTGCATATTGTGAATCAGTAACTATATTGAGAGGTTATTTATGATCCATTAACACCATGAGAATAGCATATAATTCTGACTTTTAGACAGAATTATAAGAACTTAAATTTTCTGATTTGTAGCCTGCCTTTCCTGATTTATTTGCATCCAGTTATTGGTGTTTCCCTGTACAATGCAAGGAAGGATCCAGTTAGCCCTCTTTATAAGTTCAGTTCTCTTGCTTTTGGGATACTTGCTAATCTTTCCCCAAAAAATTACTACAAACTCTCTGCCAGGTTTCACTTTCTACCTATAATTTGTCAGTTTTATCATTCATAAAAGGTACTGTAATTTATGCCGGATTTATTCCTGCTAATTCTCAAAGTCTCAATTTTCCTTTTAGAATCAACTCACAGACCTATTCCACTTAAGTTTCTAATGTTTTACTCAGTTTATGTAGTAAAACTACCCATTCTAAGATCCTATCTTCCCTCTGTATTAAAAGTTCTGTGGGGAATGCTTAGAGGGTAATACCACTAGTGTGCAGGTAAGCTTTGGAGCCACACGACCCACATGTGCAATGTGTAGTCTGTCTTCCACCAAACCAATTCTCTCTCAGCCTCAGCTGTAATTTCCTGGGACTGTTGAAGTCTTTGCCTCCATCTAAGGTTTTGTTTAAGCTAATCAGATGACCAGGGTTTATCCCAATAGTGTGCTGTAGATGGGAAATGTCTCCTAGCAACCTTTGAAAGTCATTAAGAGTGCCGTCGATCTCTCCTAATTTGCACCTTTGGGGTTTAATTTTTTTATAATCCTGTTTTATAGCCTGAATAATTAATAGAATTTCCTTTTTGAATTTTTTCCGGAGAAATTTGTAATTCCCAAACAAACCAAAATTTTCTTTACTTCTTTAAGCATTCTTTATAAAATGTTGACATTTGAATCACATAGTAAAATTTCCTCCATGTAATAGTAAACTGTTGATTGAGGAAATTGCTTACATATTATTTCCAATGACTGCCATACAAAATATTGGCTAAGAGTGGGGCTATTTAACATACCCCATGGGAGAACCTTCCATTGATATGTCTTAGCAGGCTGAGAAGTATTGTAAGTAGGCACTATGAAGGCAAATTTTCTCTGTATTTTTTCTTGTAATGGTATACTAAAGAAACAATCTTTTAAGTTAGTAACTCTTGTGAGGCCATCTTTTAGGCAATTAGAGAAGGCAAAGGAATTCCAGATTGTAAAGAGCCCTTTGATTATATCACCTTATTAACAGATTTTAAATCTGTTACCACAGTGTCAGGGAGTGCAGGTGGAACATACTGTTTACCTCCTGGTGTCTGGGAAGGAGAGAAGGTTCTTAGTATCCTCTTCAAGTGTCATCCCCAGCAGCCTACCTGCCTTGCACGAGGCTGTGGCTCCAGTGGCTCTCCAGCCTCTGAATGGCCCCACAGCTATGACAAGCCTTCAGCTGTGGGTCCTTGGGAGGCACTACAAGACTAATGATGTCCGTGGCATCCTTTAAGTACAGAAAATCATCTTTGTGTAGGTGGTAGTTTCAAGTTTTCCAAGCTAAGGAGTCTTGAAGTTTGTGCTCAGTAGATTCTTGACATTTTATTGCAACCATTTTGTCAAACTTTCTCAAGATGCTTTTCATACATGTATAACCACAGTTCTCATTTCTGCTGTTTGTCCTTAGCAGACATGAACAAAGTTAAAAGTTACATCCGACCACAGGGTGGGTTTCCTCTTTCAGAACTCGTTATGAAGACTGGAGAGTAGGGTCAGTGGTTAGAGCACATGCTGTTCTTGCAAAGGCCCCAGTTTGAGTTTACCAGCATCCACATGGGGCAGTTTACAGCTACTAGTAACTCTTGCTTCGGGGGAGGGTGAGGGGGTGGGGTTGACATATTTGGTGCGCATGCATGCACACAATTTAAAAAAAATCTCCTTTTTGAGGGGGGGAAAGGTTTCGAGACAGGGTTTCTCTGTATTGCTTTGGAGGCTGTTCTGGAACTCGCTCGGTAGACCAGGCTGGTCTCAGACTCACAGAGATCCGCCTGCCTCTGCCTCCCGAGTGCTGGTATTAAAGGTGTGCGCCACCAGCACCCGTTTAAAAGTAAATCTTAAAATCGATTTGAGAGAGGACTTGGTGACCAGTTGGCCTAGAGTCAGTATGTGTCCTAACTTGTGGATTTTCTGTTCCAGCTGCCTTGGCTCTTCCTGGTGCTTCCCCCCATCCCTCACTACACGGGAAGGGGGTTCTGTAGAACATGCAAGCATACTACTGTAGTTTTTTTGTTTTTGTTTTTTAATCTTTGGGGGCCCATTACTAAGCTCCAAGTAAATACACAGAGACTTATTCTTGCTTAAGAATGCCTGGCCTTAGCTTGGCTTGTTTGTAGCCAACTTAAATTATCCTGTTTCTCTTTACGTTTTGCCTCTGAGCTTTTTACCTTTCTCCATTCTGTGGACCATTCTTTCCTGATTCCTCTATGGCTGTGTCTCGCCCCTGGCGTCCTCCTCTTTTCCTTTTACCCTCCTTGCTGTTGTTCCTAGACTTCTCCTCCTCTTTATTCTCTGTTTCTGCCAGCTACATCTGTTTCTCTCTCCTGCCTATTGGCCGTTCAGCTCTTTATTAGACCAATCAGGTGGTTTAGACAGGCAAAGTAACACAGCTTTGCAGAGTTAAACAAATGCTACATAAAAGAATGTAACACATCTTTGCATTATTAAACAAATATTCCACAGAATAAACAAATGTAATACATCTTAAATTAGTATTCCATAACACACTGCTAGCTGGATTCTTGGGCTAAATTCCTAACTAGATGGGTTAAAATCTTACAGGATGCCTTAACTCCCTGGTTCTGTCCTACCTCCAGGTACACACACGGAATCACTTGCCCAACAGCTGGTCTGTATGCCTTCTGTGTAGACAGGCTTAACAGATACTCTGGGCGGGGTTGGCAACCTTCCCTCTCCTCTCTGCCTTTTTGCCTTTTTACCCTGGCTCTTTTCTGTGGTTAACGTTTGAAGCTCAAGGTTTGATATGTACTGATTTTTATTGTGTGTATGTGTGTGTGTGTGTGTGTGTGTGTGTGTTAACTTTTTATATACAAGTAAAGGAATGAGTACTTTTATTTTGCACAATTGTTATTTTATGCCATTTCACTTCAAACTTACCTTGGACAAAGCTGTTCATTGATATCCTTGGCATACATTTGTGAATTTTGTCACATTGGTCTCTTATGATTTCAGGACAAAGATTGCCCAAGATATCGAGAGGCTGATACATCAGAATGACATCCTAGACCGGGTAGCGTATGACCTAGATAATCCCAAGTGAGTCTGAGTTCTAAACCTTCTAGTAATACGTTATAGTTTTTATAATAAAATATATTCTTTTTCTTTTTTGGTATTTTGAGACAGGGTTTCTCTGTGGCTTTGGAGCCTGTCCTGGAACTAGCTCTCGTAGACCAGGCTGTCCTCGAACTCACAGAGATCCGCCTGCCTCTGCCTCCTGAGTGCTGGGATTAAATATTAGTGTTATTGCTAAAAGATAAATCATTATCTTTTTTATCGTCTCTGCCCCATACTTTACTGTTGCTGTTTTTATCCTTTAACAAGTGGGTATATGATGATCATGGTAAATGTTGTTCTTTTTTTTTTTTAAGATGAAAGATAACATAAACTGGTCTAGTCACTGGAGTTCCCACCCTGGCCATGTGTCTTGGCAAGCCAGCCATTTGCTACTTATGGATTATCAGTGATAGTATATGTCAGGATTTAATTGTAGTGAATAAATAAAAATTACAGCTACTCGAATAAGAGGCACAGTCAGCTCTCTAGGGGCCTCTCCTCTCCTTACGGTGTCACTGCTTTGAGAAAATTTGCCATTTCCCCCATCACGGTTGGAGGAAACAAAGTTTTAAAAGTGATTGTTGGTAGACATGAGTAAAAACTCCGTCAGAGGTGGGATGGAATCTAGAATATTCTTTGTTGTTGTTCATGGCAGAGTCTCCCACTGTAGCTTAGGCTGGCATGGAACTCACTGTGTAGCCCAGACTGACCTTCAACTTACAATAGTCCTCTTGGTTCAGGAGGCATGTGTCACCATTCCTGACTAAAATATTGTTACCCAAGGAAAGAATAACATACCTTATTAAACATGTAATTTCATTGTTCATGCTTCCATGTTAGATTTGGAAAAACAAACCCTAGAGCCCTGGGAATGGGCTTGCCCAGCTTGTTCCTAACATGTGACCATGGACAGAGTTGACAAGTTCTTGTTTTGGACTAGAATCTTGAGAAGAGTGGAGGCTTTCATTCCCTGAGGGTCAGGCAGACAATGGGAGGACCTGGCCTGTGGGTGCTCAGCCATGGGATAGGTAAAACCCTAAACCTTTTGTGTAGCTAAAAGCAAAAACTGCATGGTTTGTTAGAATTCTGGCTACTTACCAAGCAGTTTTAAAAATAATCCTCCTGTTCCACTGTGATGATCAGTATTTTAGAAATAATCCTCCTGTTCCACTGTGATGATCAGTATTTTAGAAATAATCCTCCTGTTCCACTGTGATGATCAGTATTTTAGAAATGACATTTATTTAGCAAGGCTTTGTCCTTCCTATGGGTATAATGTGGGAACAAGTCTCTGTTGTGTTTGCTGTAGTCCTTGTTTTAAAAGGAAGGACGGAAACAGCGTGTGCTTTTGACCCGTCATCTAGTTTTAGTCTTTTCTTATCTGTTTAAGTGTGATATGTTGTAATATGTTCATTTTAAAACTTTTACTTAGCTATGCCACTCCAGAAGACGGAGATATTTTGAAGTTTAACTCAAAATTTGAATCTGGGAATCTGCGCAAAGTAATTCAAATTAGAAAGTAAGCCATTTAAACGTTGTCATTTTGTGTGTGCACAGAGACTCCCGACTTGCCATCAGTTGTCCTTGTCTTGTCTTTTAGAAGCGAGTATGACCTCATTCTGAACTCAGATATAAACAGTAACCATTACCACCAATGGTTCTATTTCGAAGTCAGCGGGATGCGGCCTGGCATTGCATACAGGTTCAACATCATCAACTGCGAGAAGTCCAACAGCCAGTTTAATTATGGTGAGACTCTTGCTGCTTCCTGTGAGGGGTGTGCAGGCACTTACCTGTGGGACCAGAGACCAGCACGGACGCACTGCCTTAGGTGTACTCCGTGTTTCTGGTTTCCAAACCTCAGCCATTTATCATGCACAGTTTGGAGTAGTGCAAACTCCAGTTTAAGAGCTACCGTCGTGTAGAGATCCCTTAAGCTGCAGTTCCTGTGTTGGTCTCATCCAAATGGAACACAGTTACAGATACTGCCTGGGAGGCGGCAGCAGCAACAGCAGCAACAGGTCAGGGTTTCTTCTTTACTTAGCCTGTTAATATGCTGCATAATTTTGATTTTAGGATATTAAATCAGCCTGTTCTCATTTATTGGATAAACCATAGAATTGCTAATGTTTTGTTAAAAACTCTTGCAAACCTGGGCACAGTGAAGCATGTTTGTAATTGCCTCTAATTCCAGTCCTACCTAAGAAAGCAAATGGGGGCAGGATGGGTAGGGGGCATTTGCATTGTAGGCTGGGGCTGCAGTCCAGTGATGGCTCAGTCCATAAAGCTCTGGGTTTTATCCTCAGCTCCAGTAGAGAGAAAAGAAAGAGAAGTAGTCTTACTGTTGTGTGCAGGAAGTTGTACGTCGCCTTGCCCCACTCCCCCCCCCACCATATCTACTTCTGGTATCGTGACAATACTGACTTGCTACAACATGGCGTGTCTTCCTTCCATCTTCGGAAAGCCCTTGTTCCAAGCCGGGTGTTAATTCTGCAAAGCAGGATGGAGTTTTCTAGTGAGATTTGCGGTTTTCTCTTGTTGGCTGTATTGTAAACTGAAATCATTTCCTTAGCGGTCGAGGACTGTTGGCGCCCTGTTAGATGGGAGCTGAGTTGCAGTAGCCTCTGCTTTTTCTAGTATGTCTATTTCGCCCCAGGTGTTAGTGGGTTCCTGTTCCCGTGTGTCACTGTCTCCCTGTTTACAAGGTCTGTGCTGATAACCTCCTTTCATTTTCTGGAATCATAGCTGCATCTCTGCCCTTCTTTGTCCAGGTCTTGCGAAGCTACCCTCATAGAGCTCAGGTTTTGCTTACCTTGTATCCACTGAATGCCCAACAACGGGCAGATATTCTGTTCTTGGTCAGTTTCTATCCTTGCAGAATGGCTCCTTACTGCACAGTTTTCTGACAGTGTTGAAGAATGAGCTCGTGGTTTATTGCCTTCCTTGCTACTGCTCTCTGAATAATACTCCTTTCTTTTTAAAATAAAACTCCAGTGTCTGGGAAGGAGAAGTCTGCAGTATAGAGTGTCATTAAAGGCTGCTGTATTCAGTACCTTAAGGACCAAGGATTATTTGTCTAACATCTGGTCAGTAGTCAAGAACTATGTCTATTGGAGGATAATTATATAAACCTAGCATTTAAAAATCTAAAGTCCTTTATATAGTATACACACATTTATAATCTAACATATAAAACATCCCTTTATTATGGATTGGGAAGAGATATGTTATAAAATGATAGTGGTCTCCATCATTGGTTACGAAGAGTGGGAGGCTTTTAATGAGAGGCACAAGCTCTGCATCACGGCCTTCATGCCATTTCCCCAAGTTGTTAAAAGCCTGTGGTGGTGATGGTGCTCTTTAAAGAGGGATTTCTGAAATCTAAAGCTTCTGAGAGGTGAAGAGCTTGTTGCCAGTTATTTGTGTGGAAGTAGGAAATGGTGTCCTCTTGAATTATTCACTTGAATGAGATAAAAGCTGTGCCATTTATTTTATGAGATAATGGGGTGATTAGAAAGTATAATATCTGGCATGGTTATAAATACTTTTAAGAGATTTGAAGTCTTGTCTAATTTTCAAATACTCTTGTAAAAGTAAATGCGTAGTTTGATTAAAACATCAATAGTTACATTGCTTTGCACCACTGGTGATTGTAGACAGAAGTTTCTGTCCCACCCAGTCCCTCAGCTGTTTAGGTCCAAATAAACACACAGAGGCTTATATTAATTATAAACTGTTTGGCTGATGTTTCAGGCTTCTTATTTGGCTAACTCTCTCTTAATTATTAATCCATTTCTATTAATCTATGTTTCTCCATGTGGTCTTATCTTACGGGAGAATGCCTGTGTATCCTACCTTCCTGGTGGCTATCTGGCATCTCTCTGGTCTGCTACTACCTTTCTCTGTTCTTTTTTGGATTTCCTATCTGGCAAAATCCTGCCTGTCCACTGGCTGAAAGAGCTTTATTCATCAACCAGTTAGAGAAACATACATTCACAGCACACAGAAGGACGTCACCCGTCACGCTGATAGTAATGTTCTTGACGTAGTCTATTTCATACCCTTTATTTTTGGTGGTTTTAGCGTATAACACAATCACTGGATGTGACATTTGTATACATCCAGGTACTGTGAGATCAGATGGGACCGGGCGGGGTCACGGTGGTGTGGCGAGTACCAGAGTGGAACCTCTCTCAGAAACATGTGCTGACCTTCAGCGTTGTCGTATCTTTAAAACTGAAACTCAGTCTAAGTATCATCAAGATAAATACACTCTTTGAGTTCCTTATGTAACTGAATACAATGTTTTTAGAGTAGAAAAGAACAGTTAAATTGATTTTATTTGTATCTTGGGTGTCCTTTAAGTGTAAAATAAAAAGATGTATTTATCTCTGTGCAGTAATATAATTTTTGAACAGTACTGCAAGGTAGTATTTTACTAACTTTTATTTATTCCCTTAAAAATAATGCTCTTAACATCTTAAACTTGACTGAGCAGTTAAAGTTTTCAGTTGAAAGTGCTTATCTGGAGCAAGCCTCTCTGCTTTGAAAAGTTCTCCCTCCACGTGAGAGATGAGCAGTCTCTTCTCGTGTCAGTCAGGGCTGTAGAACACGTGTGTTCTGTACTTAAGCACCTCCCATCAACAGGCAACGGATGCTGCTGTGCTCTTGCTTCTGTCTGCTGCCCTGGCTGGCTCTCCCCCAGGTGCTCTTGAGTGTGTTCCGCACTTCAGCCCCGCACAGTGCTGTTCCGAAGGGAGTAAAACCGATCTGCCCTGTGTGGAGACAGCCCCCGAATGCAGCTTTACATGGCCGCTGCCATGATGCTGACATTGCTGACACATAACAAGCTCAATAACCATGCGTTTCATTCCCTGTATTTCAATTAAAATCACATTTCTGACATTTACTCTGGTCCTTAAGTATTCCTTTGAAATACTTTCAATGAGGTTTATCTAAACCTTTGTTATCACACATAATTGGTCATAGTTTCTCAGTTTTTTATTACTCTGATATTTTAATTATTTTAGGTCTTTGTTTGAGTTAAAAAAAAACCTTATTTCTCATAAGCTGAGGTCTCATCTATACACTAGCATTATTTGGAGAATGTTGATTGCAGTATAATAAATAGTTTGACTTTCTACCATATTTTTAAAATATGTTTGTTTCTCAGAATAATATATTATTTGTTTTGGAGTCTGAACATAGCCCTAGCTAGTCTTGAACTCATTGTGTTAAGTGACCTTGAACACCTGATCCTTCTGTGTCCATCTCTCATGTGGTGGGTTAAAGGAAGGACCGCTCATGGACATCTAATATTACTCACAATTTTATCAGGTGCCAAAAGTTTCTATTTGATTATAGAATGGTTTAGGAGATGTTTTTACATGCTCTTGCATAAGGTAAATATCAGTAGCATTCCCATGAAAGTCAAAATAAAGCATGCTGTGCAGTGTCCTCCATCTGAGTGGCTGTTCAGCTTTGGACAGTGTTGATGTGTGGTGTTTTCTCATGTAAGTAACACTTAGATTTCCATTGGTAGCTCAGAGGGGTGTGCGTGCGTGCGTGTGTGTGTGCGTGTGTGTGTGTGTGTGTGTCTTCGTGCTTGGGCTTTTTCTTCTTTTTATGTATTTAAAATATTTTTATATAAAACACAGCTGAGGTTTATTCATTTCTTCTAGAGGTTTTCTTTAATTTTGACAGTCTAACCATTGCTGCCGTTTCTCTAGTTGCTACTCCCCCACCCCCTATTTGAGACTTTTTAACTTATTCTATTAAGTAGTTTTCTCACAAATTATCCTAAAGCAGTTGTATAGTATACTTCTTGGAATAATTCTCTTTGCATTGCTAAATTTGAGAATCTGTGTCACTATCTCCATACCATCTTTATCTGTTCCTTGAAGTGGATTTTCTTAAATTGCCACTAGATGGCAGTTTCACATTCAACAAGTCGGCTTACTGTCAAACCTCTGTCTGGTTCTCTCCCTGCATCAGCCTCTCAGGTTCAAAGGGCTCTTTCTACCTTCTTCTGTAAATCAAGCATGCTTGGGACAGGCGACGGTGCACAGCTGGAGCTTAGCTGGGTCATCTGGTCTTCAGTCGTGCAGGCAGTGTCCTTGTGACCTTCCCTTGTGCTGCTGTGTCGCCTGCATGCTCTCCAGTCCTGCTGCTCACCCTTCCCCTGCTGACTCATCGCGGCGTGCACTCTGTGAGGCAGGAACACAGGACTGTTCTGTGCATTGATAACATGACTCACAGTAGATGTCTAGTGAGTGTTCGCTAATCAGTGCAGAGAAGGTGAGGTCTGTCACAGCCGTGCTGCTAGCGTAAAGAGAGTGTGCACAAGAGACTTGTCAGAGACCCTAGTCTAGCAAGACCATGGACTTTGTGTGTATGTTATGTGAGTATATGTATTTGTATGTGTATATGGCGTCTGTGAGTGTGATGTGTGTTTGTGTATAGTGAATGTGTTCTGTGTATATGATGTGTATGTTTGTGTGTGTATGTGAGTGCAGGTGCATGCATGCTATGACATGAGTGTTGAGGTCAAAGGACAACTTTAGATGTCACTGGGTGGACACTGCAGGCGTCACTTCACTGGGTGGGAGAGGGTGGGTGCTCTCAGAAGTCAGTTACAACCTAGTGCGGTGTGTTCCTCCAGTGACAGACAACTTGTGATGGAATGATTTGGGGAAGATAAGCAAAGTAAAGGGAAAGAAAATAAAGCAGGAGTGGTAACATTAATGTCA